AAATAATAATGTAAAGCGCTGAGCAAACTGTTGGCGCTATATAAATCCTGTATAATAATATAAAAAAATAAAAATGTAAAAACATTTTTTTTTTTAATTATAATTTTTGGTTATATACTAATTTGGGTTTTTTTTTACTAAAAAGATAGATGGATACATTTTGGACAAGATTTTTGAAGAAATATTATTTGTTTGCAAAAATTTTATAAGAAACCACTTTTTTTCAAACATTTTGGACTTTTTCATTTATATAGCAAAACATAAAAATCCCAGTGGTGAATAAATACCACCAAAATAAAGTTTTATCTGTCTCAAAAAAATGCTAACAAATTCATATGGGTACAGTGTTGCATGACCGCGCAATTGTCATTCAAAGTGTGATAGCGCTGAAAGCTGAAAATTGGGCTGGACTGGAAGGGGGTGAAAGTGTGCGGACTTGAAGTGGTTAATAAGTGTAAAGAGCACACTGGAAAGGAGGGCCTCTCTTACAGTCCTGAGTGAATGTCCCATAAATGGATAAGGTGAGGCAGCCAGGCACTTGGGCAGCTTTTCAAAGAGTGAAGTATACTTTAACCCTTTGAGGACCGTAAGGTTTTGGAACGCCAAAAGAATCAATTTTTTTGTTTTTAAAGTTCGTACACTTCAGTTGCTGTAACTAAGCCATTTCATGAAATAATTGGCAAAAAGCTAGATCCATTTGTTGTTTGTTGATAAAAACTAATATTTTGACTCAAACCAAAAAAAAAAGAAGAGTTTTACGTTCTTAACCAGATGATACACGCAATTACAAACATGGGACCAATACGTCCCTTGGTCCTCAAAGGGTTAAAGGCAAATGATAATGAGATAAAGCACTTCTAAGCGCAGCAGCCAAAGTTTATTATAAAAAAGACAGATTAAAAACATAAATATGATGTAAGGAAAATCTCATCAGCAAAATAAACTGCCCAGTGTGTGTCCTCCATCCACCACAGAAGCAAGGTCCCCAATCCTAAGAGCTGTCCAGAAACATGGGGTCCATAAGCTAGCCAGAAACTTAGCTTTGGACAGCTGTCATCAGATTAGGAGACCCTAATGGGAGGTTTCCCTTCACCTGTTGTTCTTGTGACAACTCAAAAGTTTTGGATTTTTCCTCACTTTATGTCTTATTGACACTTCTCATCTGCACAAATAAACAGGGTAAATCTACCTAGAAGGGACACAGACAAATGTTACAGGAGTTATAACACCTTCTCCATCCAAGAGCTCCCTACCTTCTTTATTGATAAGTAGCATAGGAGGGTGGTTCTTAACCTTACTGAGGGCAGGGCCTGGTAAATTCTTCCAAAACCTTCCATTCCCAATAGTAAAAATAAAGTTTATATTCACACAATAATAAATTATGTGAATGCAAAATATATTTTGAACTGCTCGAGGACTAATTGGCTCTGTAGGGGTGAGGCTTCTGGAGGGGCTTAGGGTCTCTCCTGGAGGCTTTGCAGGGGTGCTGTGGGAGATTGGAGGGCACTGCAGGGGATAATCACTGTTGGGATACACTGTGGGATACTGTTGGAGGTTGGGGGCATTATGTGGGGCATAAGGCTCTGCAGCAGGCTGGGGACACAGTGGGAGGTTGTGGGCACTGTGGTGTGAGAGCTGAGGTTTCTCAGGGTGCCTGGGGGCCTTGTAAGGGGTTGAGGGACACTGCAGGCAATTATGGCAAGTTTGGGACACTATGACAGCTGGGAGGCACTGAAGTAGGTTGTCGATCTGTAACTGTCTGGAGGCCCAAGAGAAGTGAGGCCATGCCCTAACAGTGGGCCACAGCCTAGTGGTTGAGAACCACTGGCATAGGAAATGCACCTTTGTCTTCTACCTAAGCAGTAAAAAGCCCTTTAATAAAAATCCCTAATCCCCTCTTCCCTGTACATTCTCTACTTTTTTAAAGATTTTCGTGAAGCTTACATGGGCCAAAATCCATACGCACCCAAAACTCTTTGCTGTGTTTTTTTTGTTTGGATTCAATCCATCCAAACACACTATGGCTATAATGTGATGTAAGCTTGGGGCTTCTGCCGATAATGGCACAAAATTGTTGGTACTGTACAAACTACTTTACCTAAAAGGTATACTGTTCCTACATCAGTACTTACACAGTACAGTGTATTTACTGCATTTAATAGAACTTAGGGCAAAGACCATTCAAGTATAAACAGGCAAGGCCCATAATAGCTTACTCACAAAAAGACGTCATTCTATACTGTTCAGTTTAGGGAAAAAATAAAGCCACTGTACATATTTTAAGTAAACTTCATTATTCAATTTCAAGGAACAGACAAACATATGTTCATAGTACATGTTCTACAAATTACCCAGCCAAAGCTGCTTTGCCTGCATGAATAAACAAGGAGCTTGTTACTGACCATCCCAATAAATCTCTCTAATCAAGGTTTTCGATGGAGGATGAAGACAGAGGTAGCATAATAACGAAACCAGAATTCTTCAAAGACTCTCATTAATATATAATTATCTGCATTTCTATCATCAGAGAGGAAAAATGTATACTATACAAATAAAAATCCAAAATATAACACACAGCAAAAGGCAATCTCATCAAAGTAAGATTGCACATATATGGGTTCTGACTGGACAGAAGAAAAACATGCCAGCAGCAGACACATCTAATGAGATGCTGCTGCAGGCTACAAGTGCTGATTGTTCTAATTCTGTTTGCTTCTGAAAACTTTTAAGAGTTAATGGCTTGTCCAAATACCAGTGTGTGGGAATGCTTCTAGCATACTATAGTGAAAAAGTGAAAGGTTAGCCCCACTCAACCTGAGAGTTTCATTCATTATCAAGACAGCCTGGTTTGTCTAGAGGTGAGGAAACTTTGTGATGATGGGTGGATAGTCTATGCAGCTTGTTTCAACATGAGCTAAGAAGTAATTGTTTGCAAAAAGACAACACAATAAAAGAAAGCTTCCAAGCACTTCAGAAAAAAGAAAAACATAAATCCCCTTAGTGGCAAAATAGCATCAATCTCTGTATGGTTTATTCTTTGTGGTAGTATCTTCTAATAGCTTGTGGAAACAAGATACAAACAGCAAACAAGCCAGTTTGAGGTACACAAAATGGCCATACAGCAGTAGTTTTCTACTGTTTGAGTTAAAGTTCATCTTTACAAAAAAGAACACTATGTTGTCACATATGGGTATATCACCAAGTTTTGAACAACAACATCCACAACTGCATTTAGAAGAAGATTCCTTATGTCCTCTGTAGCCAGCAATGGCTCTGTTCCTTGTTGGGATGGAGTAGGGATGGACCAGCCAGCAGGGACCAGTGCATCCTAGTGCCATGGGAGGGAACGACGTCCTGTTCTTTTGGGCCGCAAATGCATGTGTATTCTTTCCTGTAGCCTATGATAAGCTCAGTGGCTGCGACAGGATAGAGTACACAATGAACAAGTGTAGCCCAAAAGACAAGGACGGCACTCCCTCCCATGGCATTAGAGGGCACTGTTCTCAATGGCTGTTCCATCCCTACAATTTCTCGGGATGAAGCCATTTCTGGCAGCAGAGGTTTTGAAGAAGCTTCTTCTAAATGAAGTTGTGCACTTCATCATTTCAACAGAAAATCAGCTCTGGCTGGTAGGTAAGCTTAGCACACTATGCTGGTATGCCATATGAGACCATTTAGTGTGCTTTTTGGTAAAGCTCATCTTACCCTTTAAGTATCTTTTAGCATGAAAAACAAGCAAAAATACATTGATAGGATAGTGCTTAGCCTTATAGCAGCCATTCTCAACCATGGCTCTGTGATACCCTAGCATTTCTCCAGAGGCTATTTCCTTAAGCTGTGGCAAATTGACTTCCCATTTGATAATGTCTGAGGTCCAAATGACTGTAAGGGTGACATTCCAACCACCACTGGGCATTCTTCCTACTGACCTCCAATTTCCTAAATGAACCCTGATAGACCATCCTTTGCAGGGGTTACCTGTGACCTGAATATTATTTCTCTGGGGTAAAAAAGTTGAGAAAGGCTGCCTTTTAGGGTATGTTATATGCTTTCTAATATATTTAGTAAGTTGTTAAAAACAGCACTCATGATATGAGAAATTAACGTATTCTATAGTAAATCGTACCAGCCAATCACAAACACTGGATTTAGCAATGCATCCCTGTTCTTAACATTGATTTACTGCATTATCCAAACCAATTAGTAGGGAGGGGAGGGGATTGGATTTGAAAATAATAGTGAAGCCCACACCCAAGCACTAAGAAGGAGGTAGATGGCATGTTTCCTGATTCTTGCAATGCCCCTGATGGAGAAACAAGACCTATATAGAACTGAACTATATAGTTATAATAGTAAGACAACATACCTCATAAATGATTATAAATATTTTTTTATGGTGTTGCATTTATGCACAGATGGGACAGGAAGTGAAACAAAATTACCCCAAAATACAATTAAAACCCAATGGAACTTAAAACCTTTCCCATTGTACTGGCAGAAATGTTTTAGCACAGGTGGCAGAAGCACTTCAAAATCCATTTCTTTCATAGTTTTAAACACACACTATAGAAACAGGAAAAGGAATATGGTATAATATTAAAGTACAACTCGTTACATTTTTTTTTAGTTATGAACATAGTGGGGAGGGTTTAGAACTTCTATCAGGATTTTATTTCTGAGGAGACTTCCCCCACTGTGTGTCACTCCAGGACAAGAAATACAGAGACTAGGGTCATTGGGAACAGATAGCACATATACAATAAAACCTAAATGACACTGTAACCTTTTCTAACTGCAAAAAATTTTATTTTTGTTGCTCTCAGTGTCCCCCATTGGAGTGATGGGGCACAAAGTCAAAGGCAATCTCCACAGTGGAAACACAGAAAATAATGAAAACCCAATAGAAGTTTAAACTTTTCCCCACTGTATTTCGAACAAAAAGACATTTTTGGCTGCAAATGGACTTAAAATTAAAAAGAGATTGCTATGAGCAGACAAACCTGGCTAAGCACGGGTCCATGTTGCACTCTTGGAGCCTGGGTTTGGGTTTGACATTCTCAGGATAGTAATGGCAGTATTGATCTGCTACTACACGGCCACTCCTCAAATCATAACATTCTGCTGATGTTAACTGATAACCTGCAATAACAGTATTATATTTAGAAGAATAGATATTACATTTAAATAACCTCTAAAGCTAAAATAGTAATAATTTCCTATCAAGTGTGGATGATAGCTCATGCATACAGAAATAATATGGCAACTAAAAATCACAAAATCAAATTGATATATGCATCTGTTCTTTTATATTTTATTTACTGGTGTGATACATGCTAGAATTGTTTTTCTATGTTCAGGCAGAACTCTAGACAAACAGCTATATACAAACATGGTTACATATAAGGGGATGGTTTAGGGCCCCTTTCACGTGGATGTTTCGATTTTCAGGCGGACGCGATAAGAACCTCTATTCTCCTCTATGGAGTGGCAGGTGTAAATGGACATTTGTACGTTTACACCTGTCCACATCCAATCCGATCTGCCAAAAAGAGACAGATGGGGATCTGTTCCCCTTATGTCCACCGGATCAGATGGCAGTTGGGTGTAAACTTCCTTGCCCAGTTTGAGTGCTGCTGTATAAGGATTACAAGAGACTAATAGTTAAAGGCAGGTACTTACAATAGCTACATTTGATAAAATATTTTTTAATGATTTATTAAGGAATACCTAGATGCATAAGTTGTGTCTTTTATATCTTGGTGGAGTTCAGCTGTACGTTCCTAAAATGTATACATGTTCTGAGATACATATATATGCTGCCATTGTTGATCTCCTTCTGAAAATGTCTGGCTGTCCCTGCCTTTAAAGCTAGTTATTGGCCAAACACCCCTCTGTTCGGTTCGCAGTTGAATATTCTAACATAACGAAAGTTCGACTGCAAACTTTGAACAGAGAGGACAATTCACTAAGAGATATCTTACTGCATCTGAGTAAGTAATCGCACAGCTACTAAAAACATCCTTTATTGTTTCAGCTGTCAGCAGGGTTCCCCACCGACTGTAAAAAGAATTGCCGACATTATCCGACAATTAAAATTTTTTACAAAACACGTGGGTTCCCCACCCATTTTGATGGGTACCCCCACGCCAAAATAAAGAAAATGGTGTGGGGTCCCCCCCAAAATCCGTACCAGACCCTTATCTGAGCATGCCACCCAGCAGATCAGGAAGGGGGGGGGGAAGAATGAGTGCCCCCCTCCTGAACCATACCAGGCCATATGCCCTTAACATGGAGGGGTGCTTTGGGGTAGGGGGGCTCCCAAAGCACCTTGTCCCCACGCTGAGCAAACCGTTGGCGCTATATATAAATACTGTATAATAATAATAATATTGATGGGGACAAAGTCCTCTTCCCCACAACCATGACAGGTGGTTCTCGGGGTCTGTGGGCGGGGGGCTTATCAGAATCTGGAAGTTCCCTTTAACAAGGGGGCCCCTAGATCCTGGCCCCAACCCCCATGTGAATAAGTATAAGTAAAAAAAACAGGAGACAGTCTTTGACAAGTCCTTTATTATAAACAAAAATTTCAAAAATGTCCCCTGAAGTAGATCCAACATCAGTCATGATGCCTGTCACCACCGCCGACCCAAAAAAACCCCGTGACAGGTGGTTGTGGGGGTCTGTGGGCGGGGGGCTTATCAGAATCTGGAAGTTCTCTTTAACAAGAGGGCCCCCAGATCCTGGCTCCAACCCCTATGTGAATGAGTATGAGTAAAAAAGACAGGAGACAGTCTTTGTCCATTATTATGAAAAATTTTTAGAAAAAGTCCCCAGAAGTAGATCCAACATCAATCATGATGCCCGTCACCACCGCCGACCCCCCCAAAAAAAGAAAAAAATACACCCCTCTCGACGCTGGCTCCCGCCATCTGACAGCTGCGCAGGGATTACAGTTATTAAATAGTGTGATGATGTCACAAGGGGGAAGGGTCACCCCACCTGTGGTCAGGTGCATTGATTTGGCCAGTCACAATGCACTGCCAATTTTTTTTTACTTCCCATTTGGTAAAACGCTGTCAACACGACAGAGGGAAGTGACGGCAAATCTCTCTAATAGAGCCCTGCATAATAGTGGAAGCCAGCTAGGAGTTCTAAACCTTCCCCATTCCTTCCAAAACTAGGAAAAAGTTCTATATGTATTGAGAAAGTGAGAAACCTCTCTTAGCTTACTAAAGTTTCCCCACTGGGGAGATATCCACTTTTCTTTTCTTTTCTCTTTGCACTGGCACAGGAATTGAAAGGAAAGCCCTCCAATGGAGACAACGGCAATAAAAAAAAATACCCTTTTGTTTGTAGCAAGGAAAAGGGTTATACCCCCTGTGGGGGTTGTTTTGCTATCTGTGTCCACACTGGGGATATGTTAACTTCCTGCCTGTTGACACAGATGTTTCACAATGTCCCCTGCACAGGAAGTAAGGGGGGAAATCTACCCAACCTGGACACAGACAGTAATACATAGTTGGTTGCTGCTTTAGAGAGTACGTTCTAGATAGTATAATTTTGTTGCAATATTGTAGACATTTCTTCCATAATTCCTGATGAAGCAGATTTGTGATCTGAGAAATGCACCAAATATTATCCCCATCTAGCTTCAAGAATCAGCTACAACTGAATAGGGCCTACATTGTTTAGGATTGTAGAAATACTTTAAAGCCGGCCATAGATGGATTGAACCGCCAGTTCAGCAGGGACCAGCTTTGATCCATGTATGACCAGGCTGGTTGTGCAGAAGTTGATCCATCAACTCTGGGATTTTTTGCATGCGTTTACTGATGGTAGCTATAGCCACCAGCAGTAATCATGTTCTGCCTGCACAGAAAGCTACCCACCTGCAGAACACAATAGTGCTGTAGGAGAGATTCCTCTATCGATGCAGTCAGTCTGGTGGCAGAGAAGAAAATTGTAAAATCTATGGGCTAATTAGGTTTCAGATCAGTGCTTGATTAAGAGTAGATATTTAATTTGCTTGACTATCGGACAGCGTAGTAACTTAATGGGTAGCAATTCTGCCTTGCAGCACTGAGTTTTCTGACTCTGGTTGAAGTATGCATGTGCTTGCATGTCTTTCTTCTCAAAGACAAGCAGGTAGGTTAATTGGTCCCTGTCGAAAATTGGCTTTAGAATCATAATCTACTGATTGCTTCTGATGGCTTCTTTACCATCTTTTCCAACAGCACATTGAGTTTTTAGGGAGGAAAGAGCTATAAAGAATAGTAAGGCTATGTTCACACTAGCCTTGTTTGCAAGCGACAGACAGGCATTTGGGAAGCGTTTTTACCGCTTCCCAAATGCCTGGGAAAATTCTGTTCACACGGGAGCGTTAGCGTCGCGGCAAAACGGACGCCTCTGGTCAAGTCAGGAGGCGTTAAAGCCTTCTATTCAAGTCTATTGTGCCGCTCCGCAAACGCCCGGTTGGAACGCAGTTGCGGAGCGGTAACACCATTCAAACTTCATTCACAAACAGGCATTTGTGGGGCGTTTTTAACGCTTTGCAAATGCCTAGCAACAGCCGCTAAACCGCGCATGCGGCGTTTGCAGAGCATTAAAAAACGCTCCGCAAATGCCGGACCAACTCTTGTCAAAGGGGCGTTTGACAAGAGTTGGAAAAACAGTCAAGTGTGAACGAGCCCTAATAAAAATCCTTTTACCTATTTTATATGTTCATCACTTGATGTTTTGACACCTTAAAGTTTGTGAGAAATTCAAATCCTCCCCTAGTAAAACTTAAAAAATTGTCTGCTGTTGGCATTTTAATTAGTGCACTCTTGATCTGCATACTTGCTTAGGGTTAGAAAAACTGACACCACTAGATGAGCATTTTTAAAAAATAAGATTAGCAATGGCAGTCTGTCTTGGGACACGTGTCCTTTAAAATGGCCACATTAGCATCCATTAAATGTTTTTTATCTAATTACATAGGGCAAAGAGCAACTGCAAGTAAACGATAACCATCGAGTTTCAAATTTCATTAATTCTTCTACAGCAACTTTTAAAAATAGATTAGTTACTATGGGTTGCTGCCTTTGGCGATGTGCTAGTAAATAAAATCCAGACTGGCAGAAAATCCTTGCCCACGAATGTAAGTAGTTGATTTCTCATATCATTACCAACAGCTTAATTACATCTAATCTCCCATCGGTTAGAATTTAGCTTAAATAAGGGTCCATTCAGGTGACCATTAAAGTGCTCTATATATATAAAACTTTATAATTCTACAATCCTGCTCCCTGATTTATTTGTTACATTTATTTACATATTGCTGGCCTATTCAGCAGGGAAAACATTAACCTTCAGTCTCTGTCAATAAAGAGCTCACAATCAAATGTCTCTTCTACAGCTCTAAAGATACACAGAAACACAGAGTATGGTCAATTTTGGGCACAAGCCAGCCAACCCACCAATGTATTTTTGGCCTGTGGGAGGAAATTTGACTGCTGGGAGGAAAACCACACATTCATGGGGAGATCCATGGTAAGCACTGAAACCCTTATTAAGAGTAAAACCGGTTTACCAAACCTGACATATTTTTTTTAGAATTGTTTTATAAAGTGTCAAGAATCCATAATAATTTATTCAGCAATTTCATTTACACAGCACATGTGAATATGTAACAACTCTTTATGTATAACATACTTAACATGCAAGATATTTAAACTATACTAGTGCACATAAGAAACTAAACATTAGCAGTACTACGTGTGAATATAATGCACATTTGCAAATAATCATTAGTGGTATCAATATGAAACTCATAAAAGCATTGGTGGTCTCCCAGGTTCCCATTACTGCAATTTCAGAGTTTACCAATGGTATAGTTTTAATAAACATTGGTACCAAGAGTAATGTAGATAAAACATATACACTCATTGGTTACTTTATTAGGTATACCGTATCATTAAATCATACAGCAAATCATGTGGCTGCAACTCAATACATAAAATATGCAGACAATATCTACGGGTTCAGATGTTGTTCAGCCAAATATTATAATTTGGAATATGTATGGTTTAAGCTACTATAAATGAATTATTGTTGGTGCCAGATATGGTGATTGCAGTGTTACAGAAACTGCATAGTTTTGGGGATTTATATATGCTACAGTCCCAAAAGGCAAAAACTTATATAAAAAAAACAACTTGTTAAAGTGTAACTAAAAGCAAATCTTTTTTTTTTTTTTAGTTGTTATTGCTGTCTGTGCCCCCATAAGGGGAAAAAAAACCTGACAGTGGTTTTTTTTAACCCTCCGTCACTCTATTGAAAATGTGATAAAATGTTTTGCCTTTACTTAAACTTTAATTAATGAGAAAGCCCTGAAGACAATGGGCAGACTGGCAGCTATCAGGAAGTAAACTATTGCCCAAATAGCCTATCTATACAAGAGTGGTGTACAGAAAGCCATCTGTCAATTTATAGCACAACAACCCCTGAAGAGGTATGGCTTAACAACCTCCCATTTGGCCTATTGTAATATGATGGCCGGGTGGTACCTTCGTCGTTTTGGGTGGACATCCATGCGGCAGTCTGTCACTGTGTTCACCAGACACTGTACCAGCCCGGTGCACCAAGTGATTGCTGTGACCAATCACTGCGGATCACATGACAATTCTAAACAATAAATGGCTTCCTTTCATGCCATTCATTGTGTACAATTGTGTTGCTAGCTGTGATTGGTCACAGTGATCACATGGTACAGACAGGGTCAATCAGAGCCCACCTGTACCATGTGATTAGCTGTGGTCAATCACAACTAATCACAACAATACTTACTGAATGAATCAGTGTCTTTCAGTAAAATGCTTGCTTCCTGGTCACAGGTTGTTAAAAAAAATAGTAAAATTTTTTTTATATATAAATAATAATAAAAAAAAATTTAACTTTTTTTTTTGTACTGCAACCTGATCACCATCACGACAGTTATATGATGACACTGTACTGCACTGGTAACAGTATGTTGAAAAAAAATGTGAAAAATTTTTTTTTAATGACAAAAAATTACAACTTAAAAAAACTTGAAGAAAACATTTTTTTTTTTCAAACTTTTCAGTCTTTCATTTATTTAGCAAAAAGTAAAAAAAACCCAGTGGTGCATAAATACTACAAAAAGAAATCTCTATTTTTGTGAAAAATGATAAAAATTTTATTTGGGAACGGTGTTTCATGACCGCACAATTGTTATTCAAAGCGTGACAGCGCTGAATGCTGAAAATTGGCCTGGACAGGAAGGGGGTGAAAGTGCCGTTACTGAAGCTGTCAAACAGCAGAATGCTGTTCTCATATAAGCTAAGTGTAGGACATTTCAAAATAGTTTACATTGTCTGCTGAAAGTGTAACTTTCAATTTTTAGAGGCAAAATTTAGTAAATAAAACATAAATCCATGCATCCAGTTTCTGGCAGGTAGTGGGGTAATGCTGTGGGGAATGTTTCCATAGTACACATTAATACAAATTGATCATTGTGTGCATATCACTGTGTATCTGAGTATTACTGCTAAGCATGTACAACTGTTTATAGGTACTAAAATACTAGATAAAAATGTCTAATAAAGGGACTACTGAGTATATGTTTTCAAAGTCTATTTTTACCTCCTCCACATGAAGCTGAACAAGGAAAAAAATCAGTTTCTCTCCAGCGATGTATTATAGGCTGATAGAAAATAAATTGTACAACACTATCTGCAGCACCAGTGTAACGCACCTGGAAAAGGAATAATTCATTGTTAATGACTGTACTGTATATTATCTTCATCTTATTTCATCTCATTATTACAACTCTGTTCACATTCCAAGATTTTAAGCAGTTTATTTAGAAGTAAATTAATACACATTGAAAAACACATAAAGATCATTTTATTCAAAACTGATAATTGCGTTATGTGAATAATTCCCCCCCTCCCTTCTGTCTGTTTTGCAATGCAACCAGATGCATTTGAATCAACATTCTGTTTTCGCCATAAGGAAAAATAAATAAAACATACAGCTATGGGAGTGAACCCACATTATAATTATGTGTCAAAACTCCACTGTTGGAGCCTCCTGGAGATAAATTAATTTGTTTAGTGTTTCAGTATACCCAAACCTAACTAGAAAATGGCAATTAACCTCCCTAGTGGTCTGATTATGTCCATATTTCTGTGCTCAAAGCGGTACATTTTTTTTGAATGGAAATATGTATTTTTTTTATTGTAGGTCTGTAATTTTTAGGAATAACTCACTTAAAATCTGTCCGAACAAGAGTCTAGTAAACATCCCAGGTATGTTAAAATTTGAAACATGAAATCATAAATTATAATTTAATAAATAATCATAAAAATAATAATATAATAATAAATTTAATTCATTAATATAATCAAACCAAAAACACTGAAATTTTAAATATAGCGCCAAGTTCACACATCACTGAGCAAAGTCGTAAAATCGTTTTCAGTGTCTGATGACGAATTTCCCCACGAGTCATTATCACTCAATTCTGCAAGTGGTTCTGATTTACTATCGCTGTTCTCTAGCTGGTCTAAAACTGCTTTTGACCTAAAAAGACACTTTTTGGACGCCATGGACATTTCTCAGTTTCAAGGCAGTAAGAACAGTAAAAATGCAGGAAGGGCACAGGACAAAGCATTAGGGACAAAATGTATGTGAAATGGTTTGATACAGTAATGTTTTACTATGTGATTTTAGTGTATTTAGTGAATGTCACTTTTTCTCATTTTCAAATTTCCCGCCAGTTCCGTCCCCTGTACGTCCCGACGCTCGCAGGGGACGGAACCCAGATGACAGATGCCGGTATCTGCCGGAGGACATTGCCGAGGACACTGCAGGAGGGACATCGCGGGAGCGCAGAACAAGGTAAGTGAAGAACAGATCCCCGGAGCAGCACCGCATGGTAAGCCCAAGTATAGCTCGGGGTTACCGCTTTTGGTACTGAAACTTTATCCCGAGCTACACTCAGGAATACCTCCAGGGAGGATACAGCAGTATTAAAGATAAAAACAAACATTTATTATATTGCAGCTTGCCACTTCTTAGATGTGATGACTGCATTCGTTTTCTTCTTTTTTCGGCTTGCTTTCTTCTATTTTCAACTGGTGATCTGACCAGTATGTCTGTTGTTTTTCAAAGAATAAGCTCTACTTCAGATGTGTCAAGTTACAGGCATGAGATAAACCATTTACCACTGGCAGGGGTACTTACAATGGTCAGCTTTTATGTGTAAAAAGCTTTTATCCCAAAAGGAAAAATGCTGTTTGCTGGAACTGTTTAAAAAATATTAGCTGGTGTTTGGCTTCAATTTGTTAGTCTATTTAACTCTGCTAGTACATCTAACACCCCCTTCCCCCTAGACCAGTGGTTCTCAACCTGTGGGTCGCGACCCCTTTGGGGGTCGAACGACCCTTTCACAGGGGTCCCCTAAGACCATCAGAAAACACACATATTTCTGATGTGTAAAGAGCAGCTACTGTGTAGAAAGCAGCTGCTGTGTTGAAAGCAGCTACTCTGTTAAAAGCAGCTACTGTGTAGAAAGCAGCAGTATTGGAGGTAAAACATCACTCATGAATTATAATTACTGGGTAAATAATTATAGGGTTGGGGGTCACCACAACATGAGGAACTGTATTAAAGGGTCACGGCATTAGGAAGGTTGAAAACCACTGCCCTAGACTGACAATGCTGCTGTCCAAAATGTGCCACCTGTGCTCCTTCATCCAGAGTGGGGGCACTTAGGGCCAGTGCTAGACTATTTTGCATCCTAGGCAAGACCAGTTATTTGTACCCCCCCCCCCCCAAAAAAAAACCCCCCCTCAAATAACACTTCAAATTAAAAATCCTTGTCAGCGTTAACTCCATGTGGAGATTCACTGGGGAGCTGGGATGAAGTGATGTTGCTCACAGCAGGGCTTGCACGGCCCCTCATTGGTTGAATACCTCTTTTTCACAGATTGGCTGAGGTTTGCAGCAGACGGCTTTGTCTCAAACTAATATAATTCAATCCTGTCTGGGGACAGTGACACCAGGACCCAGAAGTGACGTTTTGCATATTGCTTCTGGGTAATTAACACAAAGGGGAGATCAGTGAACAGGTGTTCGCTGATCTCCCTCCCTTCTACCAGTGGCACCCACCATGCAGGTCCCAGGTCCGCTGATGGGTACGCAGAGCCTGGGAAGCATGGCAGGGCACATGGGGGCGTGGAAGTGATCTGGATACTGCACAGCTATTGGATCATTTCCACCTCCCAGTCAGATTTATGCACACTCAATGAGATGCTTTCTGTTAGTTCTTATTTACATTTGTGTTAGAAGGACATTAAAGTGTTACTAAACCCAGGATCCTGCATTCACTATATCCGGTCTCCCACAGTAGATAGAACATGGAAATGCAATTATGTTAGTAAATATAAACTGCTAAATACCTTTTCGCATCAGCAGTTAGAGCAGTCTTGTGACTTATATCAGTGTCCAGCCGAGCACTGGTTAAAGCTTGTAGGAGGAGTTTTCATTCTCCTCTCACCGTCCTATGAGGTTGCAGGACCCCTGACCCTCTGTCTGGATAGTGCTGATTGGCCCTGTGCTGATCACATGTACTCTCACAAGTAAAAAAAACGTTCTAGAAATACACACTGAACTGAGCATTTGCAGCTTGCCCCCCAATGCTGTGTTCTATCAGGAGATGAGTTGGGGGGACAATGGAAGAAGGGTAGGATCAGAGAAGACAGGATTGAACATCCTTTTTACACAGTGCAGAGGATTAACCCCTTAGGTTCCACAGTGAGTATAACAAACAAGATTTACTGCATTTACAGATTTATTTTATTGTTGTGGCTTTCGTAACACCTTACAATGTGTGGCTGAGCCACACTTTTATCATCCACCAACCACTCCCCATTATGCTGCCATGGCAATGTCACTATAGTACAGCAGCAGGGGGTTTTACACAGCACCCCACCACCACTGCAATACTACGGTGGCAGTTCCTTTGCAGCATAATGGGAAGTGGTTGGGGAACAGTAAAAGTGTGGCTCACCTGCACATCTTTAATGTCCCTCAAGCAAAAGTGTAATGAAGAACTAACATGAAGAATGCAACTTAAAAGGCGAAACTAATATATGAGATAGACTCATTACATGCAAAGCAAGACAGTTCAAGCCGTGATTTGTCATAATTGTGATGATTATGGCTTACAGCTCATGAAAACCCCAAATCCACAATCTCAGAAAATTAGAATATTACATGCAATCAATAAAACAAGGATTGTACATAGAACAATATCGGACCTCTGAAAAGTATAAGCATGCATATGTACTCAGTACTTGGTTTGGGCCCCTTTTGCAGCAATTACTGCCTCAATGCGGCGTGGCATGGAAGCTATCAGCCTGTGGCACTGCTGAGGTGTTATGGAAGACCAGGATGCTTCAATAGTGGCTTCCAGCTCTTCTGCATTGTTCAGTCTCATGTCTCTAATCTTTCTCTTGGCAATGCCCCACAGATTCTCTATGGGGGTCAGGTCAGGTGAGTTTGCTGGCCAATCAAGCACAGCAATCCCATGGTCATTGAACCAGGTTTTGGTGCTTTTGGCAGTGTGGGCAGGTGCCAAGTCCTGCTGGAAAATGAAGTCAGTATCCCCATAAAGCTCGTCTGCGGAAGGAAGCATGAAGTGCTCCAAAATCTCCTGGTAGACGGCTGCTGCATTGACCCTGGACTTAATGAAGCACAGTGGACCAACACCAGCAGCAGGTGACATGGCTCCCCAAATCAACACAGACTGTGGAAACTTCACACTGGACTTCAAGCATCTTGCAGTGTGTGCCTCTCCATTCTTCCTCCATACTCTGGGTCCTTGATTTCCAAATGAGATGCAAACGTTGTTCTCATCAAAAAAGAGGACTTTGGACCACTGAGCAACAGACCAGGTCTGTTTTTCTTTAGCCCAGGTAAGACGCTTCTGCCGTTGTTTGTTGTTCAGGAGTGGCTTGACAAGAGGAATACGACATTTGAAGCCCATGTCCAGGATCCATCTCTGTGTGTGGTGGCTCTTGATGCACTGACTCCAGCCTCAGTCCACTCGTTGTGAAAGTCCCCAACACTTTTGAATGGCCTTTTCTTGACAATCCTCTCCAGGCTGCGGTCATCCCTGTTGTTTGTGCACCTTTTTCTTCCACACTTTTCCCTTCCACATAACTTTCTATTAACCTCTTGCCGACCGCGCATAGCCGAATGATAGCTTCACCGCGGCCGGCCAGTTGTGAGTGGACGTCATATGACGTCCTCCCAGAACGCGCTCTCCTGCGCGCCCCAGGGGGCGCGCACCCGGCGATCTCCGTGATCGCTGTGTCCTACGGACACAGCTGATCACGTGATGTGGTGAAAGGCCGATCCCACCGGCCTTTTACCACGTGATCAGCGGTGTCCAATGATACGCTGATCACAGGGAAATGCAAGTGCCGGTTCTCGGCTGCACTTTCCTTACGCTGTCAGATCGTGAGGAAAGTACTGCCGAGAACCGGCAGTTGTCAGAGCGGGGATCGGCACCGATCATCAGGGCACTGATGATCAGTGCCCTGATGATCGGTGCCCAGCAGTGACACCCGCAAGTTCCGCCCAGCAGTGCGCCCACTAGCCCCCCCGCCCTCCCGTTCCCAGCAGTGCCCCCACCTGTGCCCAGCAGTGCCCCCACCTGTGCCCAGCAGTGCCCCCACCTGTGCC